AAACTAAGATCTGAGGATCGTGGCTCAAAGCCAGCCTGGGCAGGAAAGTCCATGATACTCTTATCTCCAATAAACGACCAAAAAGCAATAAATGGAGCTGTGTCTCAAGTGGTAGAGTGCTAGCCTTGAGCAAAAATGTTCAAAGACAGCATCCAGGCCCCTAGTTCAAGCCCTCTGACTGGCACGCACGGGCACACACACAAACACACACACACACACACACACACACACACACACACACAAAGGGAAGCAAGCTTCAAGACAATAGAAATCTTGACAGTTTGGTTTGATGCCTATTAAAAATTGAACTTCCCTCTTATGGAAGGGAAGTTGGTGAGATGTGTGTATGTGAATATATGGTTATATATATATACATATATGTATACATTATATTAAAATGGAATAATATGAAATTTGGTTCTAGTCCATGAGCCAAGAAAGTTTCAAATAAAGGCCTAGCTTGTGAACACAATAGTCTACATTTTTGTATATTCTTCCCATTAGCACACTATTATATCCTTGATCACTAAACCAGAGTTAGAACCAGACTTAAAACTTGCTCTAGCTGGGCTCTGGTGGCTCACCCCTGTAATTCTACTCAGAAGCTTGAGATCTGAAGATCATGATTTGAAGCCAACTTGGGCAGAAATGTCCATGACAATGCTATTTCCAATTAAACAGGAAAAAAAAAACCAGAACTGGAAGTATGGCTCAAGTGCTAGAGTGCTACTTTGAGCAAAATAACCGTGCAAAACTATGCCCAGAGTTTAAGCCCCACTGCCAGAAAACAAAACAAAACGAAACAAAAGAATAGCTTTTGGTTTTGATATATCCCCAAATCACTATGACACAATATAAAGTCAATGGACCAAAGCCGTAAGAGTGATGATTGCTGTCTTCCTTCATTCCTTAGGATATATGAACTAAGGAAGCAGGATCTCCAGGCCCTAGGCCAGGGAAATGATTTAACATGTAGTTCATGATTTGGAGACTAATGGGATAGCATAGATAGGTGATGGAGATAAGAGTTGTTGCCTAAGGCAGAAATTTTTTGTACACTACTATCTCTCAACTTTTTGAAATAGATCTAGGAATTTAGATTTAGGCTGACATCCCCTGGGTGTCAGAAAGTGTAACAATTCTAGTATACAAGTATAAGGTTTATGTCTTGTTTAGACTTTGGAGGAAGGTGAGTATGCATATATGCCTCCTTATAGCCAAAATGCAAATTTTATATGAATTGAGATTCTTTTCTCATTCAGTCCCCAAGGCTACGGTTGAGCAGAGCCAAAGTGTCAGGAGTATTAGAAATGAATAGCAATTACTATTTAAAAACTACTGCTGGGTGGGAGGCACAGTAATGGAGGAGCAAAGGGTGCATAAATGCAGCAATGATACTCACCTGACACTATGTTGAAAATGAACTATACAACTTGTGGGTGGTGACAGGAGGAAAAAACTGGGAGACTATGAAGGAAGGAGTAACATTGCTCATTACCTCACGAAACAGCAACCCCCTTGTACAACATCATTATAGTACTAAAAATTAATAAAAATTAATGCTATTGTTATGATTGAATCAATTTTTCCAGCTGAAAAATATACATACAACAAAAACTAAAATAAATTCCACATGTTTTGAAGTTGATTTGCTAGAAAAGCTGAGGAAGGAGGATCACAAGTTTGAGCCTAAGCTCATTCTATATCCAGTAAGAACTATGTAATGAGAGACTTGTCTCAATAAAAGAAAAAAAAACTACCAAAATAAATACATAAAAGTAGTAAGTCATGTGGAAACTTTTTTAAAACACAGAAATTGATACTACTATTAGTTATAGTTTTATGTACTGAACATGGGCAAGATTCATATACTAAATGCATGATAGGTTTTATCTCTATACAAGTGACATTTGTCAGTTTGGTGTGGTGGTAAATAGGTGGCATATCATTTATAATGTATATTTTGGTCTAATTTTTAATACATACAAAGGAACTTTAAAACATTATAGGTAATAATTTTATTAAAGCATTTTCAGAAATCGTCAGTTCTCATTTGTATAAAATACACATGGACATAAAACATCTGAATAATACAATTAATAAGCTAGATGATAGAGACAAATTTGAAGTTTATAGTTGATGCAGAATACATATTGTTTCTTTAAACAAAAAGCTTGAATTAATCAAGTTCCACTGAAAAATAAATCAGAAAAATGATTAAAAATCCAAAATCAAAGTGTCACCTGGTCGGGGAGGGGAGAAAAAAAGTGTCACTAGAAGTTAGTCGCTCCTAATTCTAGCTATTTAGGAAGCTGAGATCTGAAGATCAGGGTTTAAGGCCAACCCAGGCAGAAAAGTCCACAAGATTCCATCTCCAATTAAGTAGCAAAAATGCTCAAGTGGTAGAATACCAGCTCTGAATCAGAAAGACAAATAAGAGGAGGAGGCACTGAGTTCAAGCCCTATAAAACATATCCACACACACACACACACTCACTCACACATCACCTGAATTCGTGGAATTACTGCTTGACAATTTAGTACTAGCTATTTTTAATAACAATTCTAATGCTATTTAAAACACTTCAGAACAGTGGAAAAAAGTGAAACCTTACCAAATCATATATATTTAGAAGCTAGCACAACTTTAATAACAAAACTCGATTAAGACAGCATACCAAAAAACACAATTTTACCTGGGAATGCAAATAAAACAATCTTAAATGAAATATAAGTAAATGAAATCCAACAATGTAGCAAAAGATTTTCCCTGAAGATTTACTGCAGAAATGTGTGAAACATCAAATAGGTAATATTCTAATTCATTGCATCAACAAATTAAAGGAGAAAAAAACATAAAATGTTAACAGTACATACTGAAAAGATATTTGATAAAAATACAGGAGCCAATTCTAGGAATAACACTGTAAAACAGGAATATAAGAAACTCCTAAATGTACTAAGTATGAATAACAGCAAATATGATGCATATAAAAGTCATGTCCATGAAAATTAAAAAATAGGGCAAGCAAGTATGCCAGCTTCATTATATAATGTTGTTCTGGCAAAATCCAGCTATTTTTATGTAATAATAATCAGTATAAACATTAGAAAAAACAGTGACTTTATTTACATGTTAATTGACTGTGTACTTAGAAAGCCCAAAATATTCTGTTTTTAAACTCACTGTAATTTGGAAGATTAAATAAACACATTAGGTAAGAGATAAAAATATAAAATCTATAGATTGCCTTCATTGCCAAAAATAACAATTTACATATGAAAAGAAAAAAACATCCAAATGATAGATGTCAAGATACAAAAACTGTTATAATATTTAAAAATAAATTTGATTACATATGAAAATCTATAGGAAAAATATCAAAACAAGACTGAAAGCTTTCAGTGATGTACCAAAACTCTCGAGTATTAAGGAGTATTTGTAAGTGCTAAAACTTAATGTTACTAAGTAATCCTCTAAAGAGGAAGGTTAAGTTTTAACGTAATTCTAATTACGGTGTTAGACTCCTTTTAAATGTTAAAAAAATGCTCTCAATTTTCATTAAAAGAACATAGATCACAAATTATATGAAAAAACTAAAACAGAACTTGCTTTACTAAACTCTAAATTTTATGGTCATTTACAATACTTAAAAGTGTATGATACTGGCTCAGAAATTTGAAATTGGGTGATTAAAAAATATTAAAACATAAGTTCCTTAGAAAAATGAACTCACAGTCCAATAAAATGAATACCAGAAAACTGGTATTTGAAAGGTATAGGGGGGAGGTAGAGGGGAGGGGTAAAGGAACGAAGAAAGGAAAGGGGGATAAAATGCAATCATTATATTTAATGCATATCTTACAAAATTAAGAAAATGGGGGGGGAGAGGTTGGGTTGGGAGGGATGAGGAAAATGATGGAAGGGGTGACACCAATCAAGATGCCTTTCATTAATAAACTCATTTGTTGAATGTTAACTCCTTTGTACAACTACTTAAAGATAATAAAAATATAATTGAAAAAGGGAATAAAATCATACAATTGGCTAGCCAATGTATATAGAATATAGAGTTGGGTTTCTATGTTTTATTATGTACAAAATAAGTTTCATAGGGATTGGTGCCTTAAATGATTGAACACTTAAACTTTAAAAGTAGTAAAAAATATTATTAAGAAAAATTTAGTTTAATAATGGTGTAAATGGCTGATAGAGCATCCATCTGAAATAGATATGAAAGCTAATGGAATATAAGAATTAGTGATCTACCTAATTTTTTAATTATAAAGGGAAATATATCATCAATAAAGTCAAAATTAATGATAAAATGGAAAATATTACCACATGAGCTACAAGGATTAAATAAACTTTATAGTAAAATTTTCTACAAATTTATAAGAAAAATTAGCTAAACGAATAGGAATTGGCAAAGCACTGAAGAGTCCAAGTACAAGAAAGAAATGTTCATTGAAGTCAGGTAAATGACAAAGTTATAAGCGAAACTGTGTAATTGTCTTTCACGTTTTCAGGCATTAAAAAGTGCTGAACAGGATGCTAGCAACTTGTAATATTCCTGAAAATTAAACACATACTGACTTAGCATTTTCACGAATACAATCAGGAGAAATAGAAGCACATATATTTTCAGCAATGTCACAGTTAGAAAATAAAAAGGAAATACATTACAATCCATAGCAGAATGTTCAAACACTTTTTGGCAAGTCTACATGTACTGTGTTGCAGCTGTTACAGGAAGAATGTGAGTGAGAGTGATGGAAAGAGAAAAAGTGATCAACTATGGCTACTGACCAGAAAAGATGTCATCTGACTTGTCAATGTTACAGAAAGTACAAAAATTTGCATATGAAGACAGAGAAAACATTCAGAGACTTACATTATGTTCTCAAACCTGGGAAGAAGGGAGAAGACAAAAAATGGAGGAGGACATGTTCTGGAATTATTCTAGTTTTGCGTTGTTCCTTTGGTTGTGAACTTTTTAATTTTCTATTAGCATCTAATTTAAATTTCCAATTACAGAACAAAGCAATATCAAAAGTACCAATTGTATATTTGAGACCAAATTGCGGACATAGTACGTGAAGATTTGGAGGCACAGTAAGATTTACTCACATGCATAAATTTCGAGACCCAAAATTATTCTCAAGGTTCACAATTCAAACACAAAATATTTTATATCTAATTGTTTCCCAACTTTATTTGCAAAGAGCATAATGAACTTACGGGGTTTTCACCAAACCATAGACGTAAATGTGAATATCATCATCAAACTTGATGAAGTAGACAGACGGTTTGGCCACTACTTGGTGGATGAAAATGCCAGTTCTCTTGGATCCATCATCTTTGGCGTGTTCAACCTGCTTGCCCACGAGACTGTCGACCACTTCTCCTGGCTCCTGTTCTGCTGTAGGGAAGTAGTAGTTGGAGTCTGGAATGATGCGCAGGTCTCCGTCTTTGTAGTCATCCAGCAGGGTGTACATATAAAGAACCGGATCTTTCTCGTAGGTGATGTAAAACCAAGTATCCATCACTGGGGCTCGCGCTAGTACCATGCCCTTCCATTCATCTTTCGTACCGTGTTCGCCTTCAAACACATGCTCCACTGCCTTCCCAATCAGGGAATCAGCTAGGCGTGAATCTATGCGAGGAGATGGCACTCTCTCAGGGAGAATTTCAAGCGCTAAAACTCTCTTGTCACGATGCAGTTCCAGTCCATACACACTGTCTTTGCCATCGTATTTAATAATGTACAGAGTGGGCTTCACAGAAACCTGCTCCAGCACAGTGCCCTTCCACTGCTCCACTGGCTCATTGCCTTCTTTCCAGCCGTGTTGAATGCGACAGCCCACTATGTTCCTACGAGTGAGGAAAGTGGGCTTGCGCCGCTGCTTTCTGTGAGTGTGCCTTTTCTTCATCAGGTATGCAGACACACCATCCACACCGGTTGGAGGCACAGTCGGAGGAGACATGGCTCGGCAGAAGGTTTAGGCAAAACTGCCGCTTGTTTGGTGAAGCTGACAAAAAGTCAACACTTTCGAATATGGAATCTTTTTCGTTCGCGGTTTCGGAGACCGGATCGGTCTTCCCTATTCCACTCTCAGTCTATTGACAGAAATGCGCTTGCTACGCACTGGGGCAGCTTTTTGCCTCTCGATAGTGTCCACCCGGGAGGGGAGACGGCAGCAAGGATAGCTGCAGAGAGATGGCGGGCTCGCGGTCCGCGCCTGGCGCCTTTCCCCGACTCCCAATTCCAAATCGGGCCACTTAGCTGTTGTTGTCGATGTGGTGGCGGCGGCGACCCGGCAACAGAGGAGTCCACTGGGAAGAGAAGCAGGAGATTAGCAACTTCACTACAAAAGCAAAGAGGTGCCGGCAGCCGCACGTCTCTCAGCAGTCAGCGCGGCCTGGCCTTCGCAGTGCTAGCCTGTTTGGCCCATCTGGGGAACCGCGGTTTTTGCAGCTTTGGAAACCCGCCTCCTCAGAGCCCGCCTGCACCTCGGCCCCGCCTCTACCATCTCGCCTTCCGCTCGGCGGGCCGCTGCAGGGACACAGACACTCTCTTTTATTTAGTTTCTCCGAGACTGCTTCTTTCAAACCCTAGCCAGTCGACCAGGCTGCCTTCCTCTCGATCTCTGCCTGCCTGCTGCCCTACAGCCTCATCGACAGCAGTTCCATCTGCTTTCTATCTTTCAGGAATTCTTCACAAGCTTTCAAAAAGAATTCAAAGAGAGTAGAAAAGATTCAAAGAAAGAGAGAGAGAAGGGGGGGATGTACAAATTATTTTCTTTCAGAGAAGAAAAAGCTTATGCACAGTCCACCATCTTGATCGAAAAACTCTATTTTCTCCCTAATGATTTCTGGTATTTTTTTTTCCTAATGTAAAGGAAATATACTGATATTGTAAGCATATTCCAAATTCACAAAAATAAAACATGAAACTAACTTTATTCTTACCTTCTGGACATACACTAAAATGTTACAGGCTGATTTATCTCATTAAATGATTGTACTATATCTTACAAATTGGAAAGAATATGCCATGCTTTCAGGGATTGCTTTTTCATGTACATCTTGAGCATTTTCTGTGCTTAATCAATGCTCTGAAAACATCACATTTAGTGGTTCCATCTCTTTATAATATTCCTTTTATGTTCCATTATTTATCCTATCTCTGACAAAATAGTAATTAAAACTATTTTACCTTTATGTGTGGCTTTTTTAACCAAGTGTAGACCATATCTCTAAAAAATATTTAATAGCATAAAGGTGTGAATATGAAATTAGAACACGCTTAACAAAACTGATCCTAATTTTATAAATAAAGGAGAAAAACAGTCTCTCACTGTCTCTGTCCCTCTGTGTGTGTGTGTGTGTGTGTGTGTGTGTGTGTGCGCGCGCGCACGCGCATGCTTGTATAGTGATTTTTTTTCTGGTTGTGGAAGTACCATATATTTATAGGGGAAATCTGAAAAATACAAAAAATGTCTTTAATGTCATTGAGTTCCGCTTACAGGGCTGTTTGATAAATTAAGAATATTTGTAAATGGAAATAAAATGCAGATGAGTATTGCTGTCATTCTCATTCTTTCACTGGTGAAAAGAGAAGCCCTTATATTATCACAAGTAAAAAAGGAAATCAATTCACCTAGAAAAAAGAAATCAAGAAAGAGCTGCAAGACACTGATTGCCTCCACATTTCCTTTCCTTCCAAGTCACAGACAGAAGAACATGGTCTTCTAATTATTGAATAGCTGGAAGGGCAAAATTTGTGAAGATTCTCCAATTCTCCATGTTTCCCACTCTAAACACTTTGGAGATACGATAATCTTTCAATATTCTATCACAAAAATATTTAAGTTTAAAAAAAAACTTGTGCATTGGTGGTCCATACCTGTAATCCTAGCTACTCAGGAGATCTGAGGATCCAGGTTCAAAGCCATCCCTGATAAGAAACCCTATGACATTCTTACCTCATTAAGCAGAAAAAAGGTAGAAGTGGAATTGTGGCTCAAATGGTGGAGTGCCATCCTTGAGTGACAAAGGCAAATGAGAGCATGAGGCCCTGAATTCAAACTCCAGTACTGGCACAAAGAAAAGAAAAAGAAAAAGAAAAAAAGAAAGAGAAAGAAAAGAAAGAAAAAAGGAAAGAAAAGAGAAGGCTGTATTATGAGAAGTTATTTCCAAACTCTTTAGAAGCATAGTGATGCATATATATTCACATACACATGACTTGCATGTGCATACTCAAAATCAGAAGGTGAGTATATATAAATATCATGCTACTCTGCTTCACAAACAATGTCCCTTAGAGCAATCCCCCAGACACATATATACATATATATGTATGTATGTGTATATATATATGTAAATATATATATATATGCATGTTCTTTTTGCTTACAAGAGCAGTTGGTTGACAAAAGAAGACCACACACAGTGCATAGAGCAAACAATTCCTCAGTCTCCTTGGCTTCATCCTTTAAAGAATTCTTGCCTACAACTCTACATCCTCAGGAGACAAAAGAATTTCTAATACCTTTTCTTCTCTAAAATTGTTCTGATGTTTACATTATTAGCTAACATTTTAGAATCCAAAAGCATAGTTTACTTCCTATATATCACACTAGACACTGAATGTCTTCAAGGACTTTTTATCTTGTATCTCAAGTACATTTAATGCAGAGTCAAGACTCAATAAATGTTTGTTGAATGAATAAATAAGTGCTTTCAGCTGCCATGCTCTAATCCAAAGAAATCCTCCTCAATGAAAAAAGTACTCTTACATAAGCCTCTGGAAGACTGCAGTCCTCGTGACTCAGAATCTCCCACAAGAACTTTTTCTTTCTCTTCCTGACATCTGGACTCACATATTTATCATAGCACTATTCACAAAAGCAAGATAGAATCAATATAGGTGCCCATTAACAGATGAATGGATTACAAATATTGTATACATACAGTGGAATACAGCCAACCACAAAACCATGATGAAATATCATCATTTGTGGCAATATGGAAGAAAATGGAGAACATCATACATGCTAGTGAAATAAACCAGACACAAAAAGACAAACACCACATGTCCCCATTCATATAGGGAAGCTAAAGAATTGGTCTAACAAAAGTAGAGGGTAGAATAGTGATTAACAGGGGTAAAGAAAGGTAGAAGAAAAATAAAGGTTTCACAATGACTTTCAAAAATACATAGTTTGATAAGAGGATTACTTTGTTCTATAGAACAATAAGTTCATGAGTTAATAACATTTTACTGTGTATTTCAAAATAGCATGAAGAATTTTGAATATTCACAATACAAAGAAATAAGTGTTTGAGATTATAGATATTCTGATTCCAAAATATGATAATGCATAAAATATATTGGAATAACACAATGTACCACATGAATATGTACAATTATTATGTTCCACTGGAGCATCAAACACATCCTCTACCCTGTGAATACATTCACCCATAAGTCTGACAGTGCTAATAATATGGAAACATGTAAGAGAAACTACAACTAGGTAGTTTGAGGGCAAGCTGACAAGAGTATATAAAGATAGGTAATTTAGAACTGTTAAGATTTGTAAAGCTAATTAGTTGCTTATAAGATTTGTAAAGCAAAAAAAAAAAGATTTGTAAAGCTAGTTAATTGCTCATACAATGCAAATCTTGCAATATTTTGACAGGTTTGAATGTAATAGGTAGGGAGAAGAGTAAATCATTGTAATTTTTGTCAGTTAAGTATAACTTGAATAAAGTCTTGACTTTCCTTATGAGGGTATGTCTGAAGCCTTAACAATGGATTACACCCCTGAGGACAATCATTCAGTTATCAAAGATTACTTCTAAATCTATTTTGAAAATATAGACCAATGCTTAAATAAACACATTTTTCTGTTAATTTATTGGTTCTTGGATATAATCATCAACTTTTTTTCATTATTTTCTGCCACTATTGGTGCTTGAACTCAGGGCCTTACACACCTCCTTGGCTTTTTCAGCTCATGGTTGGCACTCTACCACTTGAGCCACAGCTCCACTTCTGGCTTTTTGCTAGTTAACTGGAGATAGATAATAGTCTCATGGATTTGTCTGCCCCAACTATCTTTGAACCTCTAGTCTCAGATCTCAATCTTTTAAAAATTCTTCTTGAGTCATATATGCTACTATAGTTAAGAGCATTCACACAACTTTTCTGTGTCTAGTCACATTCATTCAGAGCAAGTTTTTCTGTTCATCTGTCTGAAAGGACACTATGGAATATTTATATATTAATTTGCATGCATTTTCTAATTTAAAGCAATTTTCTTGTCATAAAATTTACCAATGACTCAAAGACAAATTTAATATCATTGCCTGCACTTTTTTTAAAGAAAATAATTGAAATTGTTGATGAAGGGCCTAAGATAGGGAGGTAATGGTTTAGACTTGATGTCATTAATCCTTTGTTTAAATACGGACATGGGATATGAAGACAAATATAAATGGAAGTTTTGCCTTAGCCAATGGACTGTCAGTGGTATGGACACAGGCAAAGTGAATCTTGTTATTATCTTGGGTTTGATTCATTGAACAAATACAAAATTTACATAAGGAAATGTTAATTAAGTAATATGATATGATGTTTGACATTTCCAAAAGAAGAAACTAAGAGAGGATGAATTAGAAAACACCATTTCCTGTTACTATTCCTTATATTTTGGTGTTCATAAACGTTTTTAGCCTTAAATGTGATTTAATTTGTGTGTGTGTGTGTGTGTGTATACCAGTATTGGGACTTGAACTCAGGACCTGGGTTCTATTCCTCAGGTTTTTCATTCTACCACTTAAGCCACATGGCCACTTCCGGTTTTTTGGTGGTTAATTGAAGATAAGAGTCACATGGACTTTCCTGCCCTGGCTGGCTTCAAACCACAATTCTCAGATCTCAGTCTCCTGAGTAGCTAGGATTACAAGTGTGAGCCACCAATGTCCCACTGATTTTTAGATTTTTATGATGTGTTATATCACAAGGACAAATAATAAGAGC